ATCAAGAGAACCGTACTTCATGAAGATCGGAATGCAACTCGCACTCCCCGTTGCAAGAACCCGCTGTGCAACCGGCGGAGCAACTTGCTGCATGACTCGTTTGCAATGTTTACATAATGGGACTCCCCTACATTCTTCTATTTTGGAACAGCTGCTTCCTTGTCAACTGCACTTCTCTTGTCTCTACTGCTTTTCCCGTTGCACTTGACCACGTGACCGTGCACAACAGAGAATACAGAAAGTGAAGGGGCGACAAAGAGGGGAAGACGCCACGTTATTTCTGCTACCTATAGTATCATGGACAGTCAGAATATAAAGGAGTGAGAGAGAGAGAGAGAGAGAGAGGGGGGGGAGGGAGAGAGAGGACATTGGAGCGAAGAGGAAGCAGATTTGCAGGATGGTAGGAGAAGATCTCAGGTGGGGGATAACCCCGATGGTTCCGACAGTGGGATCCTTTTGTGCCCGAATATGTGTGAAGTTGTGCGCACATTGTGGGCATATGTACGTACACACGGGCGTTCGGTATCTTCACACGTCGAAAATGTGTTCGCGGCGTGCGAACATTCGTAGATTTTAACTGACCACGCTCCGATTTATTCGCAAGTCACGTGCGATCGACACGTGCGGTCGCCGTTCGCTCGTGAAGTCACGTCAACACCGAGCCGAAGTCTCCACGCGGCATGGACATCGGAATGTTGCTCCTCGTGCTCGTGAGCGTCCTCACTTCCAGCTGCTCCGGCGCCGGTGACTTCGATCTGGGCACGATTGTCTTCGCGAACGTCGTAAGTGAATTTAAATCACGTCTTTCCACCTTTTTGCTTAGCGTTGTCTGATGCTCATTTGGAGCTCGTTCTTATTGTTTTCTTTTTATTTTGGCAATTTACTTTGACATGTTACGTAATCCAGTTTCGATTTAAGATTGTGTCTCGAGACCGATGAATAACATTGGCATATAATTTACTTTGGATGAACTGAAAATTATAAAATTTATACAAAAATGTTATTAGGCGTCAAGATCTATCTTGATCGAACATAGCCTTTTCGCTTATTGTGTCTTTTTATTGTTTTATATCAAGTTTCATATCTTTATTATGCAATAAATAATAATTGTTTTTTGTCGTAGAGCTCAATGTTTTTATTATTTCAATATGTTAATTATGGGTGCCTTCCAAAAAGCGACTCAATACAACACGGTGATGATCTCATTCTTGTTTAACATTGACAAGCAACAAGGATGATGATGCACTGTGTCATACCGTGTTATGTGTGTTTTGTTGAAAGACGCTCTATATGTCTTGAGTTTTTACGTCATTTGTAAAATATGCAAAATTTTAGAGACGTTTTCATTTTTACGTTAACGCCTGGTGACTCATAAACTTATTGCGGAAACATAATGGAGCTCGTTTTTGTTTACAGTTGTACAGACATGGAGATAGAACTCCTATTGCGCCTTACACGAACGATCCTTATAAGAATGAATCGTTGTGGCCGGTTCCATTTGGACAATTAACAAATGTAAGATAATTATAATTAACAAATGTAAACATAAATAATTATATGCATCGAGAACATATTTTTATTTCAACATAATAGATATTGTTTCTGGTCTTATTGTTATCTTATCGCTCTCTTATCATACATAAACATATCATTTGAAATGCAATACTGTGGAGTTTACTTTGCCAAGTGGCCAGTCTGACCATTTGGAATTCTATATAAAGAAAGTGAAGAAAATAGATTATACAATGAGTCAAGTTTTAAATAGATTTAGGCATATAGCAGACACGAGAAAAAAATTTCACTATAAAACTATTAGAATATATATTAAACTAATTTTTAAGAATTACTTTTCTTGCTGTATATTGATTTCTAAAAGCTTGCGCATTAACTTTACTAATGTTTAACGCTTGGAAAATGTAGATTGGGAAAAACCAACACCTACTTCTCGGATGCTGGCTAAGGAAACGATACTCTGGTTTTTTAAGCGATGTTTACACGCCATATGACATTTACGTTCAAAGTACGGACGTAGATCGTACCCTAATGTCAGCCGAGGCGAATCTCGCAGGTCTTTATCCACCGGTGAAGAACGAAATATGGGACAACAACATTTATTGGATACCGATCCCTGTGCATACCATACCGGCACAGGAAGATTATGTGCTAAAGGCGAGCAAGTATTGCCCGCGATACAAATACGAGTTGGAAAAGCTCTTAACATCACCGGAAATGGAAAATATAAAAAAAGCAAACGCGAAGCTCTTTGCCTACTTAACTAAGCACAGCGGGGAAAATATAAATTCGATTAGAGCAGTTGAACATCTATATGATAATTTATATATTGAGGTACATTGAAAATGTTCTGTTATCAATTGTGTATACTATTACGTATCATAACTTGCTCATTTGCTTAGGGAAACATGCGATAAAGCTTTGATTTATTTACAGACATTGTACAACAAAACTCTACCGCAGTGGACGAAATCGGTGTTTCCAGAAGAGTTAAAACCTCTCGCTATACTTAGTTTCATGATTGAGGCTTATAATAAGATACTTCAAAGATTAAAAGCAGGTACAATCAGTGTATCTATCATTTATTAATAATGTACTTATATTTGTATTTACATATTTTATTATGTTAACATTTTTTATGTGGAATATTTTTGATATTTTAATTAATAATTTTAACATTAATATTTTTTAAGCTTTCAAAGATATTTGTTAAATCTTCTCCATTACATAATCGACATTCAATTTTAAAAACGTTAGGTCCACTACTTGGAGAAATGATAGATCACATGGTCAAGAAAACACAACATACCTTACAACCTGATAGAAAGATATGGATATACAGTGCTCATGATGAGACCATAGGAAATTTACTTATGACTTTGAACGTATTTGACCCTCACCCTCCACCTTACGCTGCTGTGGTTCTTATCGAATTAAGGATGAACTCAAAAAATCAGTATTTTGTGACAGTAAGAATTTTGTTTGCAAAATTCATATGCAAAATACTTCATTCAATTTTTTTACTTTGATATTTATCCTTTCTTTATCATTAGGTTTCTTATAAAAATACGACAGAGGAACCAATCCTTATGACATTACCGGGCTGCGATACGTTATGCCCTTTAAATGAATTTATTAATTTGACGAAGGACGTAGTACCTGAAGATTGGGAAAGAGAATGTCAAATAAGTCGAAATGAGATAAGTTCTAGCGATGTCATCGGTAATTATTGGATTTAATATATTGTATTAAATATTTATACAATTTTTTTGACATTGTGCAGTATTTACATGTATACGCAACGTCGTTTAATTATAATTATAATTTTGCATGTAATAATTTTGCATGTAATTTAGATTGCTCATCTCAAGTTTTAATTAACATTTTTTATTTATGTTTCAGCAATTCTGACATCGTCTATATTAATGCTAGTTTTATTGGTCCTAATAATAATCGGCTTTATATATTGGCGACATAAAAAAGAACATAGACAGTATTATTTTCGCTTAGCATACAATGGCTATAACGATGCCATATAACGGATATTTGACAAAAATAATTCATATGATGAAAACTGATATGATATTAAAGAATACAGGTTAATCATTTGTTATTAATGCCATAATAAAATTAAGCGTATTTTTTACAATTTTTAAATTTTGAACAAACTTCTATATATATATATATATATTTATATCA